GCCTGCCCTGAGCCCGCCCTGAGCCTGCTCTGAGCCTGCTCTGAGCCAGGCTGAGCCCAGCCTGAGCCTGCTCTGAGCCTGCCCTGAGCCCGCTCTGAGCCTGCCCTGAGCCTGCCCTGAGCCTGCTCTGAGCTCACCCTGAGCCTGCCCTGAGCCCGCTCTGAGCCTGCCCTGAGCCCGCCCTGAGCCTGCCCTGAGCCTGCCCTGAGCCCGCCCTGAGCCTGCCCTGAGCCCGCCCTGAGCCTGCCCTGAGCCCACCCTGAGCCTGCCCTGAGCCTGCTCTGAGCCTGCCCTGAGCCTGCCCTGAGCCTGCTCTGAGCCTGCCCTGAGCCTGCTCTGAGCCAGGCTGAGCCCAGCCTGAGCCCTTACTGGAAGGTGTTGGTGTAGGTGAAATCGATGTTCTGCCCTCTCAAGAGGGTTAAATAATGTGTAACTCATCACTGGGGCAGAGATGCTTGCAGGGGACCCCAGCTCCATCCTGTGTCACCTCTCAGACAAGAGGGCTGGCTGTACAGACAGAGAGAGGCTCTCACTGTGGGGACTGTAAAAGATGATTAAGGATCCTCAGAGGTGAGCCTGTGCTAGAAAGCCCTGAACCTGTCTGCTTTTTCATGTGCTGCTAAAAGCAGAGAGGAATGGGTATTAATTTTTTTTTTTTTTTTGTGAAGTTTTGAAAGAGCTCAGTCCTCTGGTACATCAGACCATCCTGAAATTTCTGTTACGAATTATGGCAGGTTGTGCATTCCACAGGTCCCAGTTAATCACAGTCCTGCCATAATTAAAAACAGCTGTAGCACCATATAGTTACAGCCACTTGTTTAGAAATAGCTGAATCTTAAATAAGCAGCTTAGATTAATATAAAATGACAGTCTAGTGGCTGTAACTTAAAATCTCTGCATGCTACCAGCTAAAAAAATGCAGATTAAGGATTGATGTCACAATCTTAAATTATTCCAGCCTAAGGTGGAATAACTTGCTGTCTAACAGGGAGCACAGATGGATAGGCAGGAAGAAGCTGTGCAGATACATGAGTTTGTAAACATCTGTCAGCTACAGCAGGTACCCAGATACAAAATCCTGCACTTCAGGCAGCGCATGAGCATGTGACATTCAGCAGAGGGTTTACATGAAATTCTGCACAGACAGGAGCAAGTCAACACACCCTGGAAGGTAATAATTAATGAAATATATCCTTCAGAAGGAGGAGGGATTTCATTCATCAGGCGTTGTCAGTCCTGCTGCTGTTAGCTGTTCTGCTCCCAGAATGTGATGTAGCCAGCCCTTGGACCGAGCAAGATTGCTCCACCCTGTGAGACTCAGTGCTTTCCTGTTGGGGCAGTGTGCACTGGCCACTGGCATCGCTTCTGCAGCTCTGGTGGGTGTCAGCATGGTCTCCCCTGACAGAGGTGGACCCAGTTCTGATGAGTGAGACTGGATGTGTGACAGTCCTTCTTGGAAAAAATTCAGATGCAACTGCAATTTGAAAATAGCATATTCTGTCATGTAGGAATGGGATCTCAGACAATGACTGTTGGAAAACCTGCTGGGGCAGGGCAGAGCTGTGATGTGAACAGCTCAGGTGCAGACTGTAGCTGCTGCCCCTGCCCAGCAGAGCTGTGGTGGCTCCATGGCATGGCACAAACCTCTGCTTTGTAATCCCATCAATGCCCTGGAGGGCAGATCACTGCTGGCTAAAGGTAGGGAATTGGGAGGGGAAGCTTTGGAAGGAGCTCTTTGCACTCCTGCTCTGGGTTATTGTGCTGTTAACATAAGAACCAGACCACAATGGCTCTGGTGCACATGGCAGGGGCTAAACCTGTCCTGAGGGTGTCCTGAGAGTGCTCATGCTCCTGTTTATATACAAAGTCAGCTCTGACCTAAGTTCACACACTCTTATTTTAGGACTATTTCTGCTGGCTCATGGCTTGGATCTGCTTCAAGTGAATTCCCACACTCAGCCCTTTGGCCAGTTCTGAAGATGTTTTGGGAAATGCAGAGCTCCACATTCCCTGTAGCCGCTCCTTTTTCACATCACCCTTTTGGACACTGGGAGAATGGGAGTCTGCCAGCAGGACGTAAAACTGATGGGAATACCCTGTGAGAGACACACTTGGAGAATATTTCAGTCCATCAGCTGCTGGCACATTCTAGTTCATGGTGTGCAGTGTGTCTCCCAGATGCCTTGTCCTGGCACCAAGATTGGGCTTTTTCTCAGCCATTTGCACACAGTTCTCATAAAAGCAGGCAAAAAGGGCAGTGCCTGTTGAACTGTTGCAACAGAGGTACAGAATTGGGTCCCTCACACTTTTTAGCTTCAACTGTTGAATCCTGAAATTTTAGTTACTAATGTTTATTTAAATACATATACTGGAAGTGTGCATAGAGAGGGTGAAATGCTACATACTCTGAGGAATATCTGGAGGAATCTGGTCGGGGGGGGATGCCAGGCTCAGCCTGAGGGCAGTGGAAGGCTCTGGAAAGGGCTCTGGATCCATTGCCTGGGCTCATGGACTGCCCGTGTTTCCTCTCCTGCCTCTCCCTCCCTCCTCCTGCCACAGCTCCTCTCTTCTTCTGTACATGTCATGGAAATTGGCACCAGGATGGGAGGGACTGGGGATGGAAAAGGAAGGAAATATGAAAGTCATAAGGGAGAGGAGCTGCAGTGTCACCAACCTCCTGTGCTGCTCTGGACAGCTTGATAATATTCTGTCTTGCACTAATGTGGTTTCATCATACAGGGGAAAAGGCACGTGGTTCTTCAACTCTTATATATTACAAAGCTCAGCTGATGTGCTGTTTTTGACAGTTAAATATTTTTAGTTCAGGAATAATGGGCTTATTCTTACTTTCAAGATAAATAAAGGCTTCATTTTCTGCATTTCATCTGGAAATTTTAGCTTTGAACATGAAAAATATCAATATGAAAGCCAAACTTTCTAGTAAAAAATATTTTAAAAAACAGATTAAAATTTAAAGTATTTAATAATCCTGTAGTATTGAAATCTTTCTAGTGTTATTAGTAAATTATGATCTGTTTACTGATAGAGGAAAAATTGATGATGAAAGAACTAAGAATTCCAAAGGACATTTAAATTAGTAATTACAGATCTTAAATTAAGAGCAGACTCTCCAAAGCTGGAGCTTTAAAAACCCACCAAATTTTATATACTAAGCAATGAAAAAAAAGGTGATTTTTCAGATCTGAATGGAAACAATGAATGCTATTAGCGGACAAGTATTTTGTTAAAATCTGTGCATGTTCCCTTCTAAATCATTTGTAAAGAAATACTCATCGTGCTTTCTCTGGTGTTACTGTAATGGTTTTTTTGCGAAAAAGTGATTTTTTGCAGCATAGTAAAGGATCCATCCAAACATATGGCAAAGAGAAGTGAGTTACAGGACTTGCAGTGTTGCAAATGTTCTGTTGATAACCTGGCACACAAAGCAGCCTTTGCAATGGAAGGGCAGCTTCTCTTCCAGCTTCCTTGCTTTATAACTTTAAAAATGCTTCTGTCCCAACAACTGGCTTTGTTACAAGCTGTGAAGATGAAAACCTAGCGAGGACTGAATTATAAGGAGTCATAATTATTCTTCATATTTGGAAAACAAGCCCCTATTGGTGCCTGTGCAGAGGTTTGGAATAGTTTCCTCTGGTTCCAAAGCAGAATGGAGCAGTTTTTGTCCTCTGAGTAATGGAGCACAATTGGTGTCATGCATAACTGTGAAATCAAGTGAAGAACTGGCCTTTCCCATGACAGACCATGTGTTCCTAACCTGGATGCTGAAATGATTTGTGGATCTCTGTGTTCCAGGTGATTTGTAGTGCTAGGATTCATCTTTTTCATTTAGTGAAACATGCTGTTTGACTTTGCCTTGGCCAGTTATTACAGGCTAGTTTGCAGTGTGGCAGCTCTCTGGAGACCCCACTCACAGCTGCTCATTGGCCTACAAGAAGGATTTAATGATTTTCTACTTCTTCTGTGTTTGGTTTTAGGGTGTGGATATTTTATAAATGTGAGTCAAACTATTTACTGGTGACATTTTACAAATTTTCTCTCTGTTTAATCTCTAAGTAATGTTTTTAGGTTTGTATATGTTGTGGCCTTTGGCGTTTGGGACTATCTCAGAGCATTTTATCTTTAAATGGATTCCATCGTTATTCTGTAATTTCTTTGTACAAGAATGGTGCCAATCACTAAGATAAGGCTTATCCTTCCCAGCTAGACACACCAGAGGAACAGGAGTAGAGCTGAACAAGCAGAGGGCTCAGAGTCAGAGCTTTGTGGGGCTCTAGGGCAAAGTGAATTGTGCAGCTTCTGCTTAGGTGCCAGCAGAACCTAAATGTGTGAGCTGCTGGATCTCAGTGCTTTCTAGAGCTGAGAAGTGGCTGTATCCCTGCTCTAGAGCTCTGTAAAGCAGGTCAGAGAATAAACTCAAATGTCTAAACTCTGAGGCTGGGTGTGTAACTGTGGTGGAAAGGGTACAGGTTTAAAGACCTTTTGCTGTAATCACAATTGCCTTGGTTGCAATAGGGAGTGTTCCTCTCCAGCCCTGGCAGTGTCCTGCACAGAGAAAGTTGGATGTGAGAAAACCAGAATCTTGAAGAGCAGCCTGGGTTTTGTCTCAAACTCGTACAGATTGCTGGGCACACGTGTTGCTCTCTGGAAATAGTGTGACAATGGGGAAAATCCTGGAGGGAGCTTCAAAGCCTGTACCTCAATTAACTCTGCTCTAAGTGTCAGTTCACACTTCAGGTTTTATTCAACTTTGGCTTTAGAGATGAGCTTTGGCAATATTTTTTTTAACTTTCTTCACCCGGTAGTTTTGGTTATAGAAATATTTGTTTGGAAGAAGGACTTTTGTTATACTGGGTTCATATAGGAATCATCAGTGATTTCAGCAGGATTAGTAAAGGTTTCATGCATTTTTCCTTCTCAACACATCACACAGCTTAACAACAGCATCCATGTTCATGTAAACTGTCTGACTCTTCTTTCAGGTGATGTCAGTCCTAATGAACACCATCATCTTTGGAGACTGAAGAAACCAATGGCCTGTGTCAAGACTGCTGCTTAGACTCACACTTCCTAATGAGAAAGTAAGTGTTTAGGAAATTCTGCCTGACCACATGCCAAAATAGTAAAAATAATCACTACACATAGAACAAAGCTGCCTGCTGCACTCCCAGCTGCCATCTCTGTCCCTGGTCCTTGCTCCATTATGCTCATGTTAGGAATGAAGAGTGGATTTCAGCCCATGCACTCTGTAAGCATCTTACAGATTGTTCCCAGAGGTTGAGTGGGCCCATTTTGATGAAAAATCCTCTCAAACTTTTACCCCAACCTTTACACCCAACCTTCGATCATGCAAGGATATAATTAACCTTTTCCTAATAAACTTTGTTTTCATATTTCCAGAATTAAGCAGAAGTTATGCAAGCTCATCAGGCTTTTAGATAGAAAGATAAAACAACACCACCATGCAAATCACATCAGAAAAATTGCTTCCTAGAAAAATAGTTAACCATTTTCTTTCTCTGAATGGTTTCCCAGGAGCAACTGGCTTTGGTGGGGATTATCTGAGTGCTCACACTTAACTACTGGCATTGATTGCAGTTTGGGTTGTGTGCATCTGTGGCAGACTCTGTAAAGCAGGAAACAGGCTGCAATTCGCCCTTCCAATAAAATCTGAAGCTGTCAATTTGGATATGCCCATCACGTTTCCCTGGTGGCTTCCTAGGGACGCTGTTCAGTGGGATGGGAGCCCTCTGAGGGACAGCCTTGATCCAGAGGTGTGCATTGTTTGTGTGGCAAGGGGTTGTTTCTGAGAATATTGACCTGTTGTCTGTGCCTTTCTGCAGAGCTGGCTCTAACTTTATTCTGAATTGCTTTATCTCCTGGGCACTCACAAGCCTCAGTGTATTACTGCTTTGGAGAATGAATTGTCTATACAATAAGAGGGCGCTGGAAAAAAAATCAGACACTAAGATTAGCAGCAACCGCATACATTAAAATTCAAACTGAAATCCCAGCCATGGAAGGAAACTAATAGAAGAAGAAAATATATCAAGAAGAGAAGCGCTGTCTCATCATTCACCTGTGCTGAAGGATCCAATTTTAGCCATATCTAACAGCAATGTCATTCATCTTCTTGGTGTGTTACTGTGATTTAAATCCAAGCTCTATAAGAGAGAGCAGTTCTTTTAAAATGATTGAGAGGGAATAAGGGTAAATTCAGTGTTTAGGAAAACTTTATGACATCACAATATTATACTTTACAGATGGAAGCAATATTTTCTACTTTGGAAGGAAAACTAATCATTTTCTATCTGCTCTGAGTCACTGCCTCATTATAAAAGTGGGATATAAGTAGTTTTCTGCACTCCCAATCTTGTTCAAGACGACACTTTTGTTTATATAATGCTTCTGATTTATAGTGCTTAAGGATTAGCCTGACTACATATTAATTATATGGTTTTGATGCTTCAATATAAGAAGAAATTAAATATTTCACTTGAAGATAAAACCATGGAGCTGTAAATCATAAAGAATAAATTTGTGACTGTCAGAATATTCTTTTTACTGAAATTAGACTAGTTCTAATGATTATGTGTTTTGCTTAGCAGACATGGACATGTATAAGCACCTTTACTTAGGAACAAGTCTTATATTTCTTTTGGAAGAGTGACGAACAGGAAATAGGATTTGCAATATTTGTATTGCCCTTTTTGCATCAAGGTTATTTATTTCATGTTGAAAAAAAGGAGGACATGTACTTACATATAACTGTAAAAGTAATCTTTTCTTGGCTCATTCCAGTGCACTGCTGATTTATTTATTGGGAATGGCTTCCTTTACTTCCTTTACTGTCTCTACAGTTCTTGGGAAACAGCAAGCATGCAAGTTACCAGGTCTTACTGCTCCTTCCAGTACTGCTTTTTTGTTTTCATGAGATCTTCTTTGCCCATAATTGATTTCAAAAGAAAGGCATCATGTTTACTGGGGGACTCAGAAAAACTGGGATTGACGCATGCCTGCACCAATAGGGTTAATTACGCCCAAATGGAATCATACCCACAGCCCACCCTACAGCAGCACTGCTCTCTTGAGGCAGCAGGAGCTCAGTCTGGACTGGCATGTTTGGGAAGCCCAGGGCTCAGCACAGCCCCGTGGTGGTGGCACATGGATGCCATGGGATGCTGTGATCAGGAAGGGGACACACAGATGTTATTCTTTGCTGTTGCCTGGGGATACTCTTAATGCTTTCCATTGTGGGGTTGAATTAAGTTCTTGGAATGCCTCTTTTCTAAAAATCACTTGTGGACACTGGCCAAGGTCTCAGGACTGTGGCTTCCTCTAGTCTGGACTCTGCACTGGTCACTGTTGTTGATGTTTGGGATTTGGGGTTTGGAGTTTGGTGCAGGCAGGTCCTGTGTCCTTCACGCCTGCTCCCAGGGGATGTTCAGAGTGGTTTGAGTGTTGCAGGACCCCGCTGGGATCAGCTGCTGCCTCTGCTCCAGTGCTGCTGCAGGGGCAGCAAAGATGGTGACACAGGGCATTGCTGGTGTGAGAGGAACTGTCCTGGGGGCATGAAATTGGCCAAGGAGACATTAAACCAAAAACTCCCTCCACAACTGTGGAGCTGTCAGGGCTTAGCCTTAGTGTTACAGTTTTATTACATTTTCTTTCACTATCCCATATTTTTGCCAATGTACAGACAACTGTAATTTTGATGATAATGACGTGTGATTAATTTGGGATTTGTTTAAGATTTAAACTGGTTTAAACCTTTTAAAGGTTTTTTTAAAAATCTGGCAAATAAATCCCAAACTTCTGTGCTTTCTGATGCTCTGTGTGACACCCTACAAGTTACATTAACTTCAAAAGTCTACTATGTTTTGCATCCTAAAAGCTGATTCTCAGCCTGCCTTTGACAAGTTCTCTCATTACACACCTGAAATTTGTGGAATACAGGTAATATTCCTCTGGAGTGCAATATCAGACTGCTCAGGAACCTTGCCAGGTACGTGGGCACAGGTTCATCAGAATGGTTCATTCTCCTCTGAATAATTGTCTGTATAAGTGCTTATCCCAGGGCTGTGCTGATGCCCAGGGCCATGACTGAGGCTGTGACTGACACAGCCAATGTAATAAAGGCTGAACAGGGTTATTTGACTTGCTTGGCTGTGGTAGCAGGGTGGTGGGCAGCACTACAGTCCCCTCCTGTTTCATATTTCTAAGCTAAATCAACATTCTTGTGAGGTGCTAAAAAGTTCTGCTTTAAGTAGCCTGTAACTGTGCCAGAATATGATGGGAAGAGAAATACAGGATGTGATGCAGATGCCTGAGCTTCCCAAGAGCCCAGAGCAGATGGCCCAAACTGGCACCACCCTAAAAAGGCTTGAGGAGTACTCGAGGGTGCTGCTGCCACCTCGCCAGGGTGTGCTGGAGCTGGCTGGGGGCCAACACCCACTGCTGGTCCCACTTCACCTCAGCCCTGGTGGCTGTTAGCTTTTCTGTGGAGCAGGGGGCTCCTTTTAACTGCAAATGCTTAAAATTGAGCAGAAATCAATTTCCATTAGGAAGAAAATAAGCACAATCATTAAAAAAATAGGACTAGGATAAAGAATAACTTGCTAATTGCATCCTGTACCTGCACACAAGCCCCAGCTCACCCCACTGCTCCAGACACCCCCGTGCAGTGGAGGCAGGCAGGATTATTGCCTCTGATCCGGCAAACAGACCTTTGCTGAGATCCCATCAGTTTGCAGGCACCTGTCCCCACAGTCCTGTGCAGGAAGGAGCCCTCAGGAGCTGTTTTGGGGAGACTTTATTAGCTTGGCTCTTGTGAGCCAGCAAAGCCTGACACAATCACAGCAAAGAGCATGGAGGCAACAGACAAAGAACACTTGAAAAACTCTAAATGTGGAGTGCAGGCACATCTGGTACTTTAAATCGTTTCTGTGTGGGTTTTGGATTGTTTTGGTATTTGGGTTTTGAAAAAAATAGAATCACAGAATGGTTTGGGTTGGAAGGGACCTTAAAGATGACCCAGTTCCAGCCCCATTGCCATGGGCAGGAACCCCTGAGCAAACACCCAGATTTGGGCTGGGACAAACAGCAGCCAAGGTGCTCATTGCAGGGGAGGAGTTCATGTCTGGGCTCTGAGGTGTCCTTCAGTCCCAGGTGATGTTGGCAGACACATTTCACACCCTGTCCCCCAGGTGGTGAGCTGCTGGGGGTGTGTGTGTTTGTGCAGTGCCAGAGGGTCTGATCCCACCTGTCACCAGCCGGGCTGGGCTCTGGCGTCCTCCCGAGGGGGAAGGTGGGGCTGGCCTCCATGGCACATCCAAAGAGCCCTTGGCTGCAGGCTGGGCAGGAAGGACATTTCTCAGCCAGGTGGGGTGGGAAAGCTTCTGGCTGCAGTCATTTCTCTGCTGCCTCTCAAATGTTTCACACGTTGCTGTGCCCAGACTCACACGTCACAGAACTGGCTCTTGAGGGCACCTGGTGATTCTGCTGCTGAGTCTTCCTCTGGTTTTCCCTCAATTGAATACACATTATAGTTTCTATTTTTACCATCTCTCACAATGTATCCCCTACAGTCAGGTCTCCTTTAACCAAATGTTTGGTGTCTGCTTTTCCAGGTCACTCAGAGCATGCTGGAGAGACGTGGCCAAAGCTCTGCACTGCAAAGGGGCCTCCATTCCCAAGGGCGTGGATCTGATTTGACAAGGACTTTGGAAACAGAGAACTGACTGACAAACCCTCTTGGAAAATGCTGGCACCCTGTTATTTTCCAGAGAGATTTTTTACTCTTGTGAAAACTATTTTTTAAGATATTTTCTGCATTTTTCAATCTCTAGCCTAAATGTAAAGATTTATAATAGTGAAAACAATGGAAAGTCAGCCTTACTTTGAAGAATGTTTTCAGCCTTTCTTATCAAAATTTATAATCCTGTTGTTTTAGTTTTATGAAACAGTGTAAAAATAGTGTATAACTAGAGAAAAAAAGGATATGCATTCATTCTGAATTTGTGTCAGTTCATGATTCTCAGTTCTGTACATAATAGTAAATAATATCTCATCAGTTCAAACCTCTTAGCTCACTCCTGAAGACATATTTGTTTGAAAATGAGATGAAAGCCAGTACAAACTTTATATGACACCTTTTCAAACTATTTTTCTGCAAAATGTTCTACATTTCTTTGTAGCACAGGTGGTTAATGACAATGAGGACCACAAAGAAGACTGAAAACAAGCATTTTTAGGCTATAAGCGTAGCAAGAAAATTGAATGTTGCACAGAGTGGAATGAGAGAGGATGGAGCAAGACTTAGTGAAGTACTGATGTGTTATTTCACAAGTACACATTTTCCATGTCTTTAGAATCAGGAAAAAAAGAACCACGGAAGAAAATGGAGGTGTTATAACCCTTTACAAAGCATAAAGTTTATCCAAAACTGCAGAAAAAAGAAAGAGACTTACACTGGGGAGCAGTGGGTGTCCTGTGCTGGGCAGGAGGGGCTCTGCTGGCTGGAGAGATGCAAAATGGATTGAAGGAAGACAATAAAAATCAGAACCTCTTAAACCATAACTCAGTATAGTATGTGGAAAAGCTATTATTATGTGCAAATACAAACTTGCTTTGGGATTGAGTTGGGTTTTCCATTATTTACCTAAGGAAAAAAAATTTTCACATATTTGTCATGTTTGCTGACATTTGTGAGTTCAGTAACATTTCACCACTTCTTAGATAAGAATGGGAATTATTAATTGTGGCCAACAGGGAGAAAAAGTTCACACCTGTATTTCTTACAGGGCTTTTCCAGTTCTCTTCTTTGCAGAATGGTTCATTCTCAATTGTTACTTTTCTGCACATTTTCAGATGGCAGAAAGTACAGCTGGAAGGAAGGTGTTTTGTCAGGTTGCTGTTCACATTTGAGCTCAGTTCAAGAAAGGATTTCAGCCAAAGGCTCTGAGCTCCAGGAACGCTGAGCATCTGAGGAGTAATCTGTGGAGGTAAAGTGAAACATGGAGGCTACAGAAATCCATGGAAATTACAGTAATCCACAGAGATGGCAGTAATCCATGGAGGCTACAGGAATCCATGGAGCACGTGTATTGCCTTATGCATTTTTTGAAAAGACATAATTGCCTTGAGGGCTTTGGAATTGTTTTCATCTTTAAAGACAGTGGAAACAACGGAATGGGAAATGTCAAATGCCACTCAGAGCCCAAGCAATTTCCACCAAAGAACCAAGGTGAGCCTGTCTGGCAATGCAGACGAGTTGGGGACTGTAGAACAGGGCTGGTTCTCCCCCAGCTGTGTTTTGTATCCTCGGAGAGCAAGGCAGGGATGCTGAGGCTCAGGTGAGTGCCCATCCATCCCTGTGTGAGTCAGAGCAAAGGCAGAGCGGGGCAGGGATGCTGAGGCTCAGGTGAGTGCCCATCCATCCATCCCTCCATGTGTGAGCCAGTGGCCTGGCTGGGCTCTGCTGCCTGGGGCAGGCACTGGGCTCAGCACACTGAACACGGGCCCTGCTTGCAAAGGAGCCTGTGAAGAGCTCAGCCCAGCACATGCACACCTTACAGAGCAATTCCTTGCCTTCATTAATGTTTTATTGCACAAGGAGTTTACGATGACAGCGAACCTCTCAAACTGCAGCGGGATAACACGCTTCCTCACCAGATTAAAAAATAATGCTGCTACAGGTTTATGTACTGGGGTGTAGGCTGCTGTTAAGAGGCACTGCTTTGACAAAATTCTTTTTGAGGTTTACAGAAAGCATAATAAAATATGTAAGTTACATTTCTACAAACAAAAGCTATAACATAAGTTATTTATAAGCATGAGATACAAATGGTATCACAATAAATAAACCTTAATGGATACCTGTGGCATCCATCCTAATGTAATTTGCCCAGCAAAAGTCATATTTAGTATAAAAACCTGGCAGCAGCTGTGTGTTGGTATTTAAAGCAGGAATGAAGGAGGGAAGGAAGCAGCTGCTTCCCCAGGCTCATCCCTGACCTGTGGCACCTCCCTGCCTTCCCCCTCAAACCAGATGTCTCTGTGTCTTTCAGGGCTTGTCCACGATAATAGGATGTTCCCTGTCAGCTTCACTACAGCCTGATTTTATTAAAGGTGGCAGAAAGAAATGGAGCCCCATCTGCCCATCACCCTCTGCCCTTCCCCAGCACCTCCCTTGAACCCTCTCCTTCTCACCAAGTCTTAGCCACTTGTGGAACAATGCATAGATCCTGAACTGAAATAAAGTTTTGGCTTTTTAAATATCACAGTTAAGGTTACCAGCCCCACAGAGATGTGTTTTGGAACAGGGATTGAAGCCACTAAGGAATGTTCATTTGTCAGAGGCTTTAGAACCCGTTAGCATTGGCTCTCTGAGTGGGGCTGAACTGCTTCCACCAATGGGACACGGGAGGACAGGGAGTTTTGCTGTGTGTCTGGACCCCTGGGCAGGCTTATGGGGCAGGAGTCCTGATCTCCTCCATCTTGGGGTACAGGGAACATCCCTTGTTCTGATGGGGAAAAGGCTGCTGAGGGCAGAGCTCCAGGACCCTGCCCTCCCCTCTGCCTTCATGGGCTGAGGGGAGGCAGGAGGGGGCTCAGCCCTCCAAACCCAAAGCCAGGGGCAGAGGGGAATGACCTTCGGCTCTGCAGCCCCTCCCTCAGAAAAAGAGCAGCTCATTTAACCCTTGTGGGCTGACAAGAAACAAAAGGGGCTTTTTGTCAGCTCTGCTGAGCGCCAGGAGCTGAGTGCCTGAGCGCAGTGCTGCCCCATGAGAGCACAGCCACAGCTGGCACCAGGGTCCTGCTCCATCCCTGGCATGGGCAGCCAGGCCTCTGCTCTGCCCTGGGGCCTGGTGGCCATGGTGGGGCTCATCACTGACCAGGGGTCCCCCAGGGTCCCAGTGAGCCCTGCAGGAGGCACAAGGGTCAGGGCCACATCCCCCTTTGGTGCAACAAACCTCAGCCCTTGCCTGCCACTGCCCTCCACAGCTGGGCACATCTGGCTACAGGCAGAGTTCAGGCAGCACGGAAGCTGCTCTGGCTGTCCTGCTCCCCCTCCCCTGCTGGTGCCAGGACACAGATCACACATGTCCCTCCTCTGCATGAACACCAGCATCACCCACCAGCTGCACAGGGACCTTCCAGGGCTACGTGAAAAGCACCGTGTGTCCTCTGTCATGCTGAATTCCACATGAGTTGTGTAATCACTCCAAACCATGTGGGGTTTGTGCAGCAATATCCATCCAGAAAAGGCTGTGGAGAACAGGACTGGCCTTGCCCAGCCTGAGAGCTGCTGCCAAAGACAGGAGACAGAGCAGGAACTCTGGAGCCACAGCAGGAACATCTCAGCATCTGCTACTGCTTCCTGGTGCAGGGGGTTGTTTGCAGTGCTCATCAGTGGTTTGATTATCTCCTGCTACAGGAGCTTTTCAAAAGCTGAACGGTGGCATGGGCCACTGTCAGGCACATGGTGGGGGTCCTGCAAGGATCAGGGTCCTGTGAGGACATGGGGCTGCATTGACACCCTCCCTCCAGCCCCTCATTGTTGTGATCCTGAGGACATTCCCAGGGCTGAGGAGTGCCTGTGCACACCATTACCAAACGTGGTGACCATGGCAGGCTGCAGCACATCCCCTTCCTGTCACCTCCTGACAGCCAGGCCTGGGAGCAGCTCTGGGTTTCAGGCGTGAGTGAGACAGCTGCCACAACTCTGTCCCCAGTGACTCCCAGTGACAGACTGGATAGGGGATTCTTCTGCCCAGTGGGGCCAGGGAGTGGTCACTCCTCTTCCACACCTTTAGTTGCTTTTCTCCCTGCTTAACTCTGTCCCCCACAGGTCTGCAGGTGACTGGGAGCAGGGCTCTCCAGCCCTGGTCAGTCCCTGTGCCCAGGCGTCCTGGCAGAGCTGGCTCAGGCCCAGGGAGCTGTGCCCCAGTGTGCCAGGGCTGCACCGTGTTCCTCCCTGCCAGCACCACACACCCGGCTCCACATCTGGTAATACCTGTACAACATTACCTGAAATTCTGAAAGCAGAATTTCACAGGGAATGACAATGCCCCAGCAGCCTTCCCACACACCTCCAGAACTCTCCTGCCTGTGTGGCTCCAGTGATCTCCTGCTGGTGCTGCCCAGCTCTGTCCCCTGGTGCTGTCCAGCTCTGTCCCCTGGTGCTGTCTGTCACTGTCCCCTGGTGCTGTCTGTGACTGTCCCCAGGTGCTGTCCAGCACTGTGCCCTGGTGCAGTCACTGTCCCCGGGTGCTGTCCAGCTCTGTCCCCTGCTGCTGTCCAGCACTGTCCCCTGCTGCTGTCTGTCACTGTCCCCTGCTGCTGTCCAGCCCTTGCTGCCCGTGCGCTGGGTTAGAGGCACCTGCAGCTGCCTGCTCGTGGCTGGCACTCCCAGGCTGGGCTCCGAGCACGCTCTGCCTCACTGTGCCATGGCAGGCAAAGGCCACGGGCTCTGCTATTCTGTGCCACTCCATGCAAGGGCCAAGGCCAGGCCATGCCACGCTTTACCGTGCCATGGCTGGAGCCTGGCCAGAGCCCAGCTGGATGTGGGGTCTCTCCCCTCCTTGCTTTGGGAAGCTGCCTGGCTGCTGGTGCCCTGCGCCTGCCCGCGGGTCCCGCTGCCTCTCTGTGCCCGCTGCAGCCAGCCCTGAGCGGGCTCCGGCTCCCCGACGGGCTGCAGCGTAGCCGGGCGGGCGCTCCCAACGGCGCAGCAGCACCGCCCCTCAGGCCGGGCCTGCACTGCCGGGGCTCGCAGCGGGGCCGGGGCTCGCAGCGGGGCCGGGGCTCGCAGCGGGGCCGGGGCTCGCAGCGGGGCCGGGGCTCGCAGCGGGGCCGGGGCTCGCAGCGGGGCCGGGGCTCGCAGCGGGGCCGGGGCTCGCAGCGGGGCCGCGCCGGCCGGGCCGCACGCCCGGAGCCGGGCCGTGAGGGAAGCCCGGCACGGGGCCAAGGAGCGCTGCACCTGCCGGAGCGCAGCGGGCTCTGGCTCGGGAGGGGCCGCGGGGCTGTGCGGAGCTGTGCGGGTTCTGCGCGGTTGTGGGGGTTTATGCGGGCCCTGCGCCGTTGTCAGGGTTTATCCGGGCTCTGCGCGGGCTCTGCGCGCCCCCCGCCCGCAGAGGGGCGAGGGAGACGGCGCGGCTGCGGGAGAGCTGCATTTAAGGATACCATACGTCCGGGGTTATTAATTATAAAACATAATTAAAGTAAAACTACACAACGTCAACATATTAAATTTAAAAGCTAATATTAAAATAGCGTTAATATTTAATAAGGTAGCTGAGCGTTACAGAGCTGTACGCTGATACTCTATATTTAACTGTGTAAAACCAGGAGAGTTTTCCCAAAGAAAAATGTATTGTTTAGCTGATTATCAAAGACTCTGTGATATATTATCCATTTCACAAAAATAATATAGATATCTTTTTAAATATAGTAATAAAAACATACTAGTGCCTTTTAAATATACTATTACTTACCACCCCTTTTCATATTG